GGGAGGCTGTTGACGGCTTTGTTCCCTGTGACCTCTGGCACCTTGGGCACTGTGGAAGGCAGGCAGCAGTGACCTCCCCTTCCTTGTCATTCCTCACAATGCACGATGACGGTCACACACACGGCATGTAGGTTTCACTAGGTGTAGGACTGGGGTGACAGTTCCACAGAGGTGCATCATGATATAGGAACATAAGGACCTGTGGGTTTTGTTGTCCATGGGGTGGCAGGTTCCATTCCTCACAGGTTCCGAGTGACAGCCCTTTCCAGGGGGAAGGCTCAGCATGGCGCCGCTAAGGCACGAGCTCCTGCTAGCACCGAGTGTCCTCTCAGGTCTCAGGGCTCTGCTTCCCTTCCTGTTAACCCCCAGCTCCAGCCTCTGCATCATCCTTTGTTTATTTACTCGTTTATTTATTGACATGTATTTTGCATGCTTGAAAGTCTATAGACCACATGTGTGCAGCGCCTGTGAAGTCCAGAAGAGGGCGTCAGATCACCTCGGACTGAGTTACAGATGGTTGTGAGCCTCCATGTGGGGGCTGGGAACTGAACCTGTGTCCTCTACAAGAGCAGTGAGCACTGTTAGCCCCGAGCCATCTCTCCAGCCCCTGCACTTTCAATTTTTATTTATGTATATAATATACGTGTAGGTCTGTGTGAGCGTGTGCCACATGAAGAGAGGTACCTGTGGAGGCAAAAAAAGTATAGGATCCCCTTGGGCTGGAGTTACAGGTGGTTAGTTGTGACCCACTTAGGGTGGGTGCTGAGAACTGAACTTGGGTCTGCAAGACTTGCCAGTACTTGAGCATTGAGCTATTGCTCCAGCCCCAAGCACCTTTCATCAGGATGCAGGCTTTATATTAATTTCATGATACTTTTTACATATTGAGAATCATAGTAGCTCAGTGTCCAAAGCATGCATGCTCCACTTGGTGCATTACACCTGGTGCAAACTCTCCTGTCCCAAACCTCCCTGAACTAAGGAGAAGTCCCTAGGTGACTGGAAGTCTTTGCTCCTCCCTTTTCGTCCCTTCCCAGGAGGATCTGTGGGCTGTGGCGCTGCATGGTGACTCCAGAGGACCTTGCTCCCTTGACAGCTGAGAAAAGCTGATCCGATGTGTCAGAGGTCTCTTGCCACATCCTTTATATGTCCCCTGGTCTTTTAGGAATTATTATTATTGTACTTACCTGTGTTTGAGGGTGGGCTTGTGCCACAGTGACTGGAGGTCGGAAGACAACCCGTGGGAGTCCGTTCTCTCCACCATGTGAGGCTCAGAGACTGAACTCAGGTTGCCAGGCTTGGCCACAGCACCTTTATCTACTGTGCCATGTTGCCTGTCCCACCTATCCTAATGGGGGCTAGCTCCCCGCCAGCTGGATGAACAGCTGCACTGTGGCCCCTCCCAGACCTTTCATCTAGGTGGACACAGGTGTCCTGTCCCGCTGCTCCTCCTGAAGCCTGTGATATCACAAGGCAGGGTCACGAGTGAGCAGACGACTAAATGATTGGTGCAGGATAAGAAGAGGACCCGGGCCACCCTGGCACAGGTCCAGGTGCCCTGGCAGGGCTAAGACACTGCCCTGCCTCAGGGGCCACTGGTATTGGTGGCCCTCGAAGCCGGCTCAGGCTAGCCTGCAGCCATGGCTGACTCGGGACCACAGTGGAAGAAAGTGTGCGTGCCAGCCCTCAAGATGTGGAGGAGGGTCCCTGCTACTCCAGGGGTAGCCAGCCTGTGAGTCTCCGGTGCCTTGTTATTTGTTACATTCATTTATTTGGGGGAATGAGTACCCACGTGTGGAGGTCCGAGGACAGCTCACACGAGTCTGACCTTCCATGTCTGCGGGCTCGGCACTTTCCCGTGTTGAACCATCGTGCTGGACTCTTGCTCTGTTTCATTGAGACAGGCTCTTACTCAGCTCAGGGTGGCCTTAAACTTGCAGCAATCCTCCTGCCTCAGAACCCTGTGAGCTCCCCTCCCCCAGGAGGGAGATGCACCTCTATCTTCCAAGAAGGAGGGTGCACAGGGTCACACAGGCTGTCACCTCCCCACAGTGACATCTGAGCCTGGTTTGGTCTGTGGCTTCTGCCCTGACCCAGGCCTCCACGGCACTGGATCAGACAGGCTCAGGCAAGCCTGGAGCTCAGGGCTCCATGGACACAGACACAGACACCGACCCCAGAAGCCTCATTGTTTCCCTCGGGGCAGGCATAGGTGTGCCAGCTGCAGCCTCCACACAGCTCTAGGTTAGTTCCTGTCCCTCGGCTCTCGATGCCATGGCCCCATCTGCAGCTGGGACAGGAGGCTAGGCATGTGTGCTTTGACAATCTTTGGCCTTGTACAGACTATATATCCACTGAGTGCCTCAGTTTCCCCAGACCCTTGTAGGCTCATGAACGATGTCGTCAGGAGCCTAAGCATCCCAAGACTCTGGAGACCAAGCCACAGAAAGCCCTGGAACTGGGCTGGTGAGGGTGGCCCTGAGTCCCAAGTTTGTTGGGGTTTGGGAATCAGAGAAGAGGCTCAGACTGCCACAGTAACCTAGCCAGAGTGTCACTGTGCTCAAAGAAGACAGAGGTAGGTGCTGAGATTGGCACCCTCCACCTGGTCCAGGAGAGACCGCATGACAAGCCAGAGTCTTGGGTCTACCTGGACGCCTTCCCCCCAAAACCTCAGCAGCCAGGCACCCTACATTGTTGGCCAGTCCCCAAGACTTCGGCTTTAAGCGCTGATCCTGGGCTTTCCTGCCGCCATAAGGACTCATGGCTTCCTCTCCAGGGCAGCCTGTGTCTCACCACACCACAGACCCTTATGCTGGGTCTGGGCACCACCACCTTATCAACACGGCAGTGCCTGGCCCTGAAGTGCCTCCGATCCTCCGCCTAAGGGTCTCTAAGGGCCACCAAATTGGGCAACTGGCCAGGGGTCTCGGGAGTCAGGGTGCTCTGTGCAGCTGGAACAGGATCCAGTTCTGAAAGCTCCTTATTTGGGGACTGGTGGGTTGGGGTCCCAGAACCTTCCCTCCTCTTCATTTCTTGGAAAGTCCAGTGCCCCACATTCCTGGCCCGAGAATGGAAGGGCAGGTCCCAAAGGGTGGATGGTGGAGAGAGGCGGGGAGGAGAATGAACAAGAACTCAGCAGGGGGAGGGGAAGAGGGAGGGTATGGGCTGGGGAGGCTTGATGGAGGCCCTCAGCGCCACTGCCCCTCCTGTGTTCTGGGGCGGGTATTATGTGCAGAGCTTCAGCAAGGGGTATCTGAAGGGAACAGCAGAGGGGCCGCTGGGGGCTAGACGGGGTAAACTGAGTCAAGGAAATGAGGACAGACCACTGATGAGTGTGGTGATATATCGTGTACCTAATAAAGTTTACCTGAAGAGCAGAGAACAGAACAAGCCACCACATTAAACATAGAGGCCAGGCAGTGGTGGCACACACCTTTAATCCTAGCAGAGGCAGAGATCAGTCTGGATCTCTGTGAGTTCAAAGTCACCCTGGACCACATGAGATTGACTCAGTCTAGGAGAGAAACAGAGCCAGGCCGTGGTGGCACACACCTTTAATCCCATGATTGAGATCTCATTCGTTTGCTCAGGAAGCACACACGCCTGTAACCCCAGGAAGTAATATGGCAGGGCAGAGAAAGGTCCATAAGGCCTGAGGAGACAGGATCCAAAGCCTCTCTACTGAGGAGTGCTAGAGGTTAGAGGTGGCTTGTTCCTTTGTCTCTCTAATCTTTCAGTGTTTACCCCAATTTCTGGCTCTGGGTTTTTATTAAAAGACCCTTTTAAGATTCGCATTATAGATGGGCTTGAGGGTATGCTCGTCTTTTGGCTTTCCTTGCTTTGTTTTAGACAGTCTCACTGTGTGGCCTTGGCTGTCCTGAACTTGCTCTGTAGACCAGGCTGACCTTGAACTCACAGAGATCCACCTGCCTCTGCTTCCCCAATGTTGGGACTAAAGGTGTGTGCCATCACACTCCACCTATTTGTGTTTATGAAATAGGTTAGTCCTGATCCGCCTATTTCCATTCCAGAGTATTGGGATGTAATGTGTATAGGCCCTCACTGGGGTTCTAGGCCGGGGCTCCACCCATGAACCACGCCCCCAGCCCCTCACTGGGGGATTCTAGGCGGGGCTCCACCCCTGAGCCACGCCCCCAGCCCCTCACTGGGGATTCTAGGCAGGGGCTCCACCCTGAGCCACGCCCCCAGCCCCTCACTGGGGATTCTAGGCGGGGGCTCCACCCTGAGCCACGCCCCCAGCCCCTCACTGGGGATTCTAGGCGGGGGCTCCACCCTGAGCCACGCCCCCAGCCCCTCACTGGGGATT